GGTGGCTGTGTGTGACACCAGCCCTAGCGGGGACAGCACCGTGTGGGTGGCTGTGTGTGACACCAGCCCTAGCGGGGACAGCACCGTGTGGGTGGCTGTGTGTGGCACCAGCCCTAGCGGGGACAGCACCGTGTGGGTGGCTGTGTGTGACACCAGCCCTAGCGGGGACAGCACCGTGTGGGTGGCTGTGTGTGACACCAGCCCTAGCGTTGACAGCACCGTGTGGGTGGCTGTGTGTAACACCAGCCCTAGCGGGGACAGCACCGTGTGGGTGGCTGTGTGTAGTACCAGCCCTAGCGGGGACAGCACCGTGTGGGTGGCTGTGTGTGACACCAGCCCTAGCGGGGACAGCACCGTGTGGGTGGCTGTGTGTGACACCAGCCCTAGCGTTGACAGCACCGTGTGGGTGGCTGTGTGTGACACCAGCCCTAGCGTGGACAGCACCGTGTGGGTGGCTGTGTGTGACACCAGCCCTAGCGGGGACAGCACCGTGTGGGTGGCTGTGTGTGACACCAGCCCTAGCGGGGACAGCACCGTGTGGGTGGCTGTGTGTAGTACCAGCCCTAGCGGGGACAGCACCGTGTGGGTGGCTGTGTGTGACACCAGCCCTAGCGGGGACAGCACCGTGTGGGTGGCTGTGTGTGACACCAGCCCTAGCGTGGACAGCACCGTGTGGGTGGCTGTGTGTGACACCAGCCCTAGCGGGGCTTGGTGAGCACTGGGATAGTGCGGGCACCACGCACAGCGTGTGGTGGGGGCTCCCCCGAGGGGGAGGGGGTGAGTGTCAGCCCAGGGGCAGGGTTGCCCCGGGCCATGGCACTCTGGTTGACCCCGTAGACAGGTGATCCGTAATGTCCATACAGGGGGCCCCAGGTGGGGGGACTCGTGGGTGATCACGTGTCCAGAGAGAGCTCTTGAGAAGGATCGAGAGGGAACGAGAATGTTCGGGAAGGCGGGCGGGGCCGAGGGCGGAGCGGCCCCGACTGGAGAGAGATATAAGGCGGGTCCCTGGGAGGGACCGGGGTCGCTGCATTCTACAAGCTGGAAGCTCAACAGCTACAAGCTGGAAGCTCAACATCTCAAGCTGAAGCTCTCTGTCTTACGAGGCAACCACGTGGTCGGAGACCCGAGTTAGGGAGAGACCCTTCGTAGCAGTAACTCGCTGTAGTCTGGCAAAGGGGCAGTTACCCCTTTGTGTTACGGTGTTACAAATAAAAATGTTGCCTCTAAAAGGAACAACGTCTGTAACTCGGTTGGACCCACTACAGTAGTAAAAATGTAAAAGTATAAATTAGACTTACCTTTTGTCTCAAGTGCTGAAGAAATAAATAAAGACACCAAATCAACTTTGTTGCTGCGTATAATTATTTATTAGATTCATTTTGAATAAAGAAACGTCAAACTTAAAGCGAATTTGCAAAAAAAATGATTTCCACTCGATCTTCTGTGCGAGTGCAAAAATCCACCTGCTCATTAATATTGTAGTGGATTCGAATTAGGTGCACACACACACTTCTTGGAAGGCAACACTTATTTATTTAATGAACACAACAGTTAACTCTTACATTACGCATAGGGTGGTGACCACCGACTTACTCTAGCTAACAAACACTTCTCAGATACTCTAGGGAGGTACAGCCTCCTGTCTTGGCGGGACTTACACGTCTACCGCTATCCTAGAGTCCTCCGGCTGGGACCTACACACGGATCTCTTCTTGGCGTCTTCACGATGCATCTTCATTCTTGATACGGGCAGCCTCGAACCTCGTGAGGAGGCTGCTTATATGGGCCTCGGGGTGCCCGGGCCCCGCCCCGGCCACGCCTTCCTTCGAGAACCCTCTCGAAGCCCCCCCCCCTGCTGTCCACGTGCCCCCCGAGGTGCCCCCTAGGCCCCCAGCCCCCACTGGGGTCCAGTCACGTGTCCAGCCGGGGTCACAGAGAGTACCACGACCTCACACCACCCTCGTGGCCTCCCGAGTCCAGAACCGGCCCTGACGTCATTCCCGCCTCCAGCCGGGATGACGTCATGTATGTGTATAGACCCGCGTGGTCGTGACGCTCCCCCGCAACGCTCCCCCGCATAGTGACGTCACACGTGTGCGTGTGTACACAGTAGTGATGCTACAATCACTACAATATTAATATGACGCGGGGTGCGGCATGTGGAGTGACATTCTTGGCTCATTATAATAGTAACTAGCTTCTTTTCCCGTGCTAAAACGGAAGCTGTAATATTTACGAAAAATTTAGCAGAGTATAATTGTATCTTGTGTTAATTTAATGGCAGTGCATCTTGCACGAAAGTATGTCATCCAACACTTCACGGCATTTCACTTTAGCATTGTATTAATGGCAGTGATTCTTGCACGAAACTATGTCATAAAACACCTTACTTCATGTCACTGTAGCACTGTATATAACTGACCTTCAATTTCTTCAAATTCTCTTATCTCCTGAACATATTATTCTCTTCTGCTTTCGGTCGCTGGGGTTGAAATAAATTGGAAATCGATACAATACCTGGAAAATCATCAATAAATTAATATTTTACCATAATGTAGAAGCAAATTAGACTTTCCTTTTGTCTCAAGTGCTGAATAAATAAATAAAGACACCAAATCCACTTTGTTGCTGCATAGAATGATTTATTAGATTTACTTTCAATAAAGATCTGTCAAACTTAAAGTGAATTTGCGAAAAAAAATATTTCCACTCGACCTTCTTCTGCGTGAGTGTAAAAATCCACCCGCTCATGAATATTAATGACGGGGGGGGGGGTGCGGCATGTGGGGTGACGTCACGTGCGTTTTACACAAACAGACATTCTTGGCTCATAGTAGTAATTTAGCGAATGCTTAACACGTGACTTTTATGAAAAAGTAAGAATAGGTTTTACCCTGTCTGATAATGAGACAAGTGTTAAGATGTTTAAACACCAAATAGAAACCTTTTGCAAGGACTTTTACACAGAACAACCCTTATGTACTAATCTGTATGCAAAGCCGTCCCTAGGGTCATCATCATCGTCCCGAGGGTACGGCCAATCGGGCTGAACTCCCTGGGCCCCACGCGTTGGGGGGGGGGGATCTCCGCGCTTCGACGTCACAGTGTCAATGTCAACATTTCGGTTTAATCTGAAGGCGCCGGAGGGCCCACACGGTGGGGATTCGCCCCGGGCCCCGCACTCCCTCCCCTATGGACGGCCCGTTCTCTGATGCATGTGTCGTGACTGGGAATGTCACTGTGTGGTGCCGGGCTTGTGAGGCCACGGCGGGATGTATACTGTTGTGTGTACACCCTGGACATGGGGTGTAGTGCCAGCCCTAGTGGGGGATTGGGTGAGCGCTGGCTAAGCGCGATGGACACGCACAGCGTGCGGTGCGAGCTCCCGTTGAGAGAGCGAGAGAGTGTCAGCCAGCTGGGGTTACGTTGGGGGCATGATACTCTGGCTGACCTGGGGACATGTAACCGGATGATACTGGAGGGGGGCCACCGGTGGAGGGGGCTAATGGGTAGTCACGTGGTCCGGGAAGAACTCTCGAGAGCCTTCGGGCAAGGGCGAGAGAGATCGAGAAGGTGGGCGGGGCGAGAGGCGGAGCCAACCCCAGCCCAGCCCGATATAAGGGGGGCCCTGTGAGGGTCTCGGGGTTCTGACTGTTGGAGAGGCAGGAGATCCACGTCAAGCTTGAAGAAGCCTCCAGCCACGCGGTGTAGGACCCAGCTTGTGGTCCGGACCGGGATAGTGGAACCGTGTCTAGTTCTGCCGTAGCGTGGTTAGTTGGGTGGTCACCACCCGAGAGTGTGTTGTGTTATAGCCTGGAGTATGTTGTGTTAATAGACTGAAGTATGTTGTGTTAATAGCCTGGAGTTTGTTGTGCTAAGAGTTTAATAAAAACGTGTTGGTCCCAAGACAACGTTTTTCGACTCAGTTGGACTCACTACACATGCTTAAGGGTGGATTCTAGAATGCCAAGTACAATTACAACGTAAATAAATAAACATTTTCAATAATTGGATTGCATTCATTCATCCTTTGGTGGCAGGGGTGGCGCAGTGGTAACACTCGTATCTCACAGCAAGAAGCTCCTCGTTTAACTCGTAGGCTTTCACGACCAATATTATTCATAATAAAGTTTTTTGGGTTAGATCGTGTTATTTATGTGTTGTAACCCTCCACCACCCGACACAGCCAATCAGTTTTCTGGCAAACTGCCCGATGATGCTGGATGTAATTACCAGCGAAACGTCGTACTAAAAAATTGTAAATGTTGTGGATTCACTCTTCAACACACCGGTGGGCTAAAGTAGTGAACTATTTGTCTTTTGTCAACGTGACACTTATTTTACTGATTGGCCGTGTCGGCTGGTGGAGGGTTACGACACATTTATAAATAACGCGATCTAACCCAAAAACATTTATTATGAAGAAGCTCCTTGGTTTGTGGTGCCACGGCCGTGGAGCAATTCCGCAAGCACCGCGACTCCCCCCTATCCCTCACCCTGAGCACACACGCAGCGCACACACGTAGTGTCCTGGCGGGGGATCACCTGGCACAACGGGTTTTCATTCGTAGGGTCCCGCGGTTTCCCGGTGCCAGGAGATTGGCCGAACCTCACAGGACAAGTCACATTGCGGTGCCCCTAAATTTGCTTAAAATTTCGATTTAAAGCTTTCGTGATTGCAAGGATTCATCTCCTTTGGTTCTTTCGGTAAAGTCACGTAGAATGAGAATAAAATAATAAAATCAAACAATGAAATTCTCACGACGTTTCGGCCACAACACAAGTAGCCGTCCTCAGGTGAAGAAACAGGACTGTCCAGAAGACAGCGCTCACTCAAGCGCTGTCTTCTGGACAGTCCTGTTTCTTCACCTGAGGACGGCTACTTGTGTTGTGGCCCAAACGTCGTGAAAATGTCATTGTTTGCTTAAAATTGTATGGGTGCACAAAGGCTCACCGGGCCAGCCGCAATGAGTCATACACGACATCGCGGAGGGGGGCTGGGGTGAAATATTAAGCGAGCAGAGCAGACTATGAGGTCATGGGATCGCAGCGCCACGACCTCCCCCAGACCAAGTACCCACTAGCAGGGCGTGTATTCGCCAGCGGATTAAACAGGTTGAGTCAGAAATGAATGAGTACAGGTGCATAGACAATAGGTCGCGAAGTAACCATTGCAACGTTCTGTGTGAGGGGAAACGAGCGAGAATCACAGGTAGGTGCACGATTGGCCGTGCGGAATAATGCGACCCTGGGTTTTTGAAGTGAGGGGAATAAAAAGGGGAACCCGAGGCATTCAAGGGAGAACTCTTCTTCAACAGCTCGGTCGCCAAGACCCCCCCCGCCCTGCCGTCCTGCCTCCTCGAGCCGCTCGCAGCATCCGTGTGATGCCAGCGAGTGCTGCTACGAGGCAGTGAAGGCAAGGTGTTTTCGTCATCCTCCCTCCGACTCTCACAGCGTCCGTGCGACGCCGTGAGTACAGCTGCGAGGTACGTGATAGGGCGTGCGAGTATGTGGGGACTTGGGTAGCAGTCGGCTGGGCTCTGCTCATAGAATATTCCCTCCGGGTAGTGCGGGATTTGCGCTGCGGATAAAAGTTAGCACAGAGCATCGGTGTGGTGTGAGTGACTTATGTGTGGAGTGGCTGCGTGGGCGGACGCGCGGCGAGAGTGAGGGCAGAGCCGCAGCACGAGCGCTCGTTGAGATGATCGCTCGCAGGTGCGGGCGCGGTCGTATTGCTGTGCGCCGCGTTAGCGTGAACGGTGGTGTGCACAGAAGAGTAATCACGGAGCCGCAGCGTGTGCGCGTGTTAAGAGGAAATCACGCGCAGGTGCGGGCGCTAGCGTGCCGCTGTCCGCTTCGTTAGCTTTGGCTGTGGTGTGCACGGGTGAGTGCGGGCTAACTCCGTGCAGCGGTGAGCCAGCGATTCAGCTGTGCCCCTCAGAGAGGGCACTAGTGCGCCGGTCGGAGCCGAACGACGCGGTGGAGGAGTGGAGGGGGTGGACGTCACGCCCCACCTCCTGCCCAGCGAGGGCGGTGGGGTGGACGCCAGCCCCCACAGGTTCCATTCCAGACTTGTCTGCCTTTAATCGCACTCCCGATTAGCACGGTTGCGAAATAAGTTCAACGTAGAGTAGATTTAAGTGTGGAGCTTGGATGTTCTTTCCCTCTTTTATGCATGGGGTTCCTCCTAGTTCACTGGTGTCCTCACATCGCTATTTAAAAAAAACTCCATTCAATGTAACCGGTATTGGTAAAATATCCCAATGCTGAAACATCGCGTGCTAATTACTCAATCGGCATTACACACTGCAGCAACACCGCCCCCCTACTGTGAACAACTTGGCAGGTTCTCCTGAAACAAAAGTCTCTGTGAGGCTCTCCCGTGTAAACGAGCTTTAAATAACAAAATTTATAGCTCGTGTGCAGATGCTGGCTGGATTTGACGGCGGTGGCGTGGAGAAAAAAAAGATCTCCGTATCTCAGTGGGCCTTACCTGGTAACATACCAACAAAGCATCGTTTAGTAGTGAGTCCTTCACTCGTCCGTTGGCCGTGGATGACAATGAATCAAACATACAGTACGTTTTTTGCAATGTGTGCAGGTGTTCACTGCATGTACTTTATGTATAGAGGTCAACTTTACAAACATTCTAACAACCCCGTTGTCAACCCCGCTCACTTTGGCTCCATTTCGAGATAAATGAATCACACGTAATTAGCGCCTGCACATGAATAAGATCTCTCTTGACTGATTCTGTACTGGGGGGGAAATGCTTTCTCACGTGTGTGTGTGTGAGACCCATCTTAAAGTAACAATAATCAGGCAATATGCGCCCTCAATAATAAATCTGTCTCTCTACATTTAAAAACAAATTATAGTATTTTTGTAACACATTCCATCAGCCACAAGGACTTCCGGGAGTGCATAATTTCGGCAACAGTTCAAGAAGGAAACCAACACTCTGGGCCGGTATCGACATTCATTGTCTCGAAAGCAGAGTCAGGCTTGCTTGAGCTAATGCCGTTGAACTGTCCTATGTCTACAGGCCAGGACCCTCCGCCCTCTGTTAGATTCGAGTCGCAGACAGGGCGACGCTCTATGGCGTCAAGTTGAATGACCCGTGGCACAGTGCGAACCCAAGGGCAGTGTGGGTGGGCAGGGCTGGAGAGTGCCCGCGTGGCTCGCAGCTTGGGGGGCCCACGCGGGTCACCTTGTGTGTGAGTGTGAGCACGTGTTCAGGTGAGCTGGAGGGGCTGGGGACGGGTGGGAGGAAAACGATTGTGAACTTGGAAGGGCAACACGGGCACAGCGATAAATGTAACACGCACGCACACACCGCTCGGGTTTCCACCTTCTCCACACACGATGCCTGAGACAGAGGAAAGTGGAGACAAATGACGAAATGTGCAGTGAACACCTACGAGCTATCTGCCCGTGGATCATGTTGATGATGACGGTACCCAAACATTCCTCAATCAGCTCAGGTCTTTAAAAACTGTGCAGTACACTGTAATAAAATGTATGCTATCCGAACGAAACAGACCAATTCCCGGACTGTCCGGGTCAAACCAGGTCAGCCTAGAAATGTGTGGGTTGACATCCCACTCGGCAGAGAATACGATCCGCACGGTTAGCTACGTACGGTGCGAAAGAAGTTCAACATACTTACAGGTGGCAGCCCTGTGTTGTGACTGAATTATGAGGTTGATGTTGCTTCAAAGTCATCACAAATGTCACTTGAACGCCACTGTCTTTGTTATAAAGTGCTTCAAATAGCAACTTCTTGCAATTTATTGAGATCTGCTATTTGGAATACTTGCCATTTTTTCTGGCATCTTTTTTGGGCGACTTTTGAATATCTAATGGCGACAAGCAACCTGTTGAAGTTTATTTGGCAACTATTTTATAGCATGAAGTTGTAAATACGTTATGTAATTAAAGTGATAGAAGTCAGACGATCGCGCACCCTGGATGTTGCCCGTGTTGAATCATGCTCACCAGACCTCGCGTGTGCTGGGGGTTGAATCCAAATCCAATGTAAAACTAAAATGTGTATTTGTTATTTTACCAGGTAAGGCTCACTGAGCTATGTAGCTCTTTTTCAGAAGCGACCTGGCCACAAATGATAGCTCAACGAAGTGGCTTATCATGTGGACATTTATAGCAGCCAAATAATCTAAACGCATGTTTCGAAATGTGGACAGAAAAACCGGAGAACCCAGTGAAAAATACACGCGATTACGGGGAGAACATGCAAACTCCAAATTTACAGGCGTCATGGTTGGGATCGAACCCACAACCTCCTGTATACCAGGCTACCGTGCCACCACTGCCGCCAGCTGAATACAACACCTTCAGCACCCTTCAAGAAATGGCTAAGAGTGGGATTAACGTCCCAGCTCTTTCTCATTGCTCACATAACTTTGCAAATGGTATATTTGTAATCTCTTGTCTTGGGCGCATTGGGATCTACGGATGAAATTCGTCTTATAAAGTGTAAATTATCATTATTATCTTGTTATACGTGACTATTCTTGTGTGCAGCTGTGGCCCTCTCATCCCCTGCCGGCCTGCTCATCCTGGGTTGTTACTTCAAGCACGCCACGCTCGTCCTCGATGAGAATTGCATTGGGACGATCTGGTAATAGCTCATCTCCAACGCATATGCCATGCAGGCAGACAGGTATCCATGTTCTGGAATAGGCTTTAAAACAAGGCCGTGAGTTTATATGAGCATGTGTATACCCCATACAAATGGACATCTGTGAAAAATAGCTTTAGAGCTAAATCGGATTTCTCCAGTATCAATAAATATTCTGACTCTGAAATGCCATTTCTGACTGAAATGCCACAATGTGTATGCGACTTATTACAGCGTATGGTTGCAATGTTGTGTTTATAGACTGAGGTACCTTAGTGTGTGCATGAATTAGGGATGATGAAGCGTGAGAGGGGGATTGGATTATTGATTAGAGAACACGCGTTCGGCTTCCCATGCTCTGAGACAGGCAGATTACGCCGCTCTCCGCCTTCGTGCATCGTTTTACACGGCCCCTCATTTTCATCATCCCGGCGTGTGATATTAACAACATTCAGGTGATTATAATGAATAATTGCAAAATACAGTGGTGGTTGACGGCTGCGCACGGTGCGTTGCGAAAGTTTAACATGTGATGCTGTTCGTGTACGATTTGATGTTGCTGTGTGTGCATGACATCACGCATCTTCTACCCTTCCTCGTGTCCTCTGTGATTTTTTTTCTAACGTGTCCATTGCACCCATACACTGTCTCATTTGGATTGTCTCCTCGATATTAAAGATCATGATAAAGCTGATTAGAAGAGCAATTTTAAAAAAGTCCACATATTTACTCGATCTAACCCCCCCCCACAAAAAATATTACAAACAATATTGGTCGCGAAAGCCTGCGTGTTAAACAGAAATCCAAAAAGTGACATGGTATATTTATCACGGCCACATTAAAATGCGCTTCAACTGTATCAAATTTGAAAACCCCGGACCACACACGCAACCCTGTCAAAGCAAACTTGACTGTATCGTGTCGTTACATTTGCCGAGCTATTCAGGAGTGACTCCAAGACTGAAACGAGCTTACATCTTTTTAACCGATTGCCCCTGGCTCTGTGGTGCAGGGTTTGGCAACGGCTGAGCGTGTGTGTGTGTGGTTATTGTTTTATTTTTATTATGTGCCGACTGGTTAAAACTTGCCCGCCATTAAATGGAGTTAACAAGGGTGCTATAGAGGGAGTGGCATTACGGTCTGGCTCTAGCCCACGGCAATATTTGTCTTTATTGTGGTTCCTGACCGAGGGGAGCTCGTCCGGTTACTTCTGGGCATTGTACCCCCCCAACTCCCCCACGCGCCACGGGTTACTGCGCTCAAATGGAAGCACTGTCGACGATTCTGCAAAGCGGCGCTTTAAACAAGAAAAACGAAACTCCTGCGAGAAGTGTCGACAATATGCGTGAACAATGGGGCCAGGGCAACAAGGGAGCTGCGCCTACAGCCCGTCAACTCGAATCGCCGCGCCTCGCACGCACGCACGCCGCGTCTGTGCGCACGTGCTCAGCTTGGTCTGAGCGCAGCGATGCAGTCCCCCAGTGTGAGCGTGGGACGGCGTGGGCAGTAATGGGCGTTGCACTTCTTTCGCGCCGTACGTAGCAACCCAAATCCGTGCTGATCGGGGTAAGTACAATAAACTCTAACAGCCCGTTTAAAACGCAGGAGGCTTTCGCGACCAATATATATTTACTATACTATAATGAGTCCATAATGTGTGTCCCGCGCGTGATGTCACTCCACACGAGGCCCACCCCCCCGCATGACGTCACTCCACATGGGGCAACCCCCCTCATTAATAATCATGAGCTGAACAATTTTTCTATTGAATATTTCAGATTTACTGCAATATACAGCCGTCCTTGGACGGGCAAAAAAGCTAGTTATCCATAATTGAGGGGGGGGGGGGGTTGCGTTCGATCACGCAAATATACCACCCGACAGCTAATTAATAAGGGTTGTCACGTAAACAAAACGTGCCAATTAGTTACTAGTACAGCACATACCGGTTGTGTGTTGGAGAGTAAACCCAAGGCAACATTTACAATTCCAGTACCGTGACGTTTCGCCGGTAATTACAGCAACCAGCATCATCAGGCATCAAGTTAATGAGGATTTATATTGTTGATACAATAATTAGTTAACCGGTAATCGTTGTCGGAATCAATGACCGGTTTTGAAAGTCAGAAACCGGTAACCGTTTTCAGTGGCACGTTTGTAATGGATGTTTGTAATGGATTGAGTTTCATTTTGTTTTATTTGTTGCACGGATGATCCCGTTCGGCCAGTGTCCTGGCTACGTTACACGGGAGATTCGTGGTGTGTGAACACAGCAATAACAACACAAAAAACGTCAATATTGCAGAGAACGAGTAACAGGGTCCTGAAGCAATATTACAAGAGATGCCAGAAAGAGGTCCAGGTACAATACAAAGCTCGACACAGGACGAGTTATAATTGTGATATAATAATTGAAACACGCGAATATAAACGGACAATGCAAACGTGGGAATATACGCCAAAAAAAAGGTTTCAGCCTACAGGAGCAACACGGCAGGGCACCCTAATGACGTGCAGATTTTTTTCTCAGTCGAAACTGCACAAAGCGCAGCCCTGCAATTGCTTAGGCACGCCGCCGCTGCTGGTCGAAGGGCCTCCACGTTGTATTTTGTCTACTCTTCCACGCTCACTTAGACGTCTTGAAAGAGGTGGACGTACCCACACTTTTCTCCACCCACACACGACCTGTCGATAGACTGCGGCTCACCCTTTACGAGCAGTCGCATTTTAAGCGTGGCTCAAACTCATTGGTATCACAGTGCTATATGGGAGAGAATAACTCGGCCTCACAGTGTGATGTGATAGATGGCTTGACAGTAATTATACCGCTACTAAGAGAGAAGCTGTAAAATAAACACATTCCCAATGCACTACATTCCAACAATTATCACACAGGGAGCACGTGATGTGTGATAGTAACGTGGTGCAGCATGTAAACATGTTTCTTGATTGTAAAGGCAGTGCAGGTGCTTGTGAAAGCAAGTGGGGTTTTTGTTGTTGCAAGATCACAGTGCTGACTTGAGAACATGTTGATGCACAGGAGAGCTACGCGACGCCGTGTTCAATGGAGCGCGAGATGGCGCCATCCCTTCCACTGCGGGTCGAGTTGGTATTCTTTCGCTCGGCATTCCAAAACTATAAACTAAACTATTTTTGTATGCGAACAGATAAGGCCCACTGAGCTATATCGCTATTTTTCATAAGCGAACTGGCTAGCACAAATTATAGCCCAATTAAGTGGCGTATCATCATGTTGATTCTAAATGTGGAGGGAAAACCCGGAGAACCCGGAGGAACATCCACGCGACCACGGGGAGAGACGCGCAAACTACAAATATACATTAGGCGTCAGGGTCGGGATCGAACCCACGACCTCCTGGCTACCAAGCGAGGTCGTCAACATCTCATAGCCACCGTGGCGCCTCGTGCTGGCCTCAGCTGCCTGCGACTCAACCTGGGAAAACTGCACGGCCGGCACAGCAGCACGGGAGACCGGCGGTGGAACAATTTGGAGAACGCCAACATCGTCCAGAATCAGAGCCCCTCTCACCATCGCCACCACCACCACCCAGCCATCAGGAAGCTCCCTGCCCCGCCCCCCCCAACGGCAAACAGTGGGCTGCCTTACATCGCATATTCCCACTGGCCATGGCAGCCGCATTCATCTCCTCTTTTGTTGGAAAATAAAGGAACCTCCCGGATGCGACTGTGGCGCACCGCGACAAACCGTGGGGCACATCGTGTTTTCTGGGTCTCTGTGTGAGTCTCTGGGTCTCCGTGTGAGTCTTGGTCTCTGTGTGAGTCTGTGATTCTCTGTGTGAGTCTGGGTCTCTGTGTGAGTCGATGGGTCTCTGTGTGAATCGCTGGGTCTCTCTGTGAGTCTCTGGGTCTCTGTGTGAGTCTTGTGAGTCTGTGATTTTCTGTGTGAGTCTGGGTCTCTGTGTGTGTCTCTGGTCTCTGCGTGAGTCGCTGGGTCTCTGTGCGAGTCTATGGGTCTCTGTGTGGGTCTTAGGCTCTGTGAACGTGGGGAGTGGTAGTGTAGCGGTTAGTGCACTGCGCTACGAATCCGGCGACCCGAGTTCGATTAATCACGTCCTTCCAATGATTGCTCAATTTGTACCCATCTTCTCTGTTGAAGTTGTGTCTGTGTTTATATATCTGGATGGCTTCATGAACAAATCTCTGATGATAGCCAGTGGGTTTGCAGAGTACCTTGGTCTCGGAAAAAAACAATATCGTGCGAGCCCACTGCATTATAACAATGATCAGCCACGGCAGAGGTATTGGATCTGCCGTGTTTCAAATCTGCCTTGTGTTCGCAAACACGGTCCGAGACATGTCGTTTAATTTCCCCAATGTAACTGCAGCCGCAGCCACAACTTAGTTTGTAGACACCAGGATATTGCATGTCAGGAATCACATCCTTTACAGATGGGATCAATGACGGATTTTGTGTAATGTGTTGAAACGAATCTTGTGTTTGTTTAAGATTTTGGAAATCTTTTTGGTAACTCTTGTTATGTATGGCAAGGTGATGGTTTTGATTGGATCCTCAGAAGGTTGTCTCCTCATGGCTAGGGAGACAAGCTTTGCGGATTGTATGGTCAGAATATCCATTCATCTTGAGAGCTTGGTGTACGTGCTCCAGTTCACTGGCTAGGTGGTGCTGGTCGGAGATGCAATGGGCTCTATAGTGTAGTGTTTTGATGAGGGAAGTTTTCTGGGCTAGACGGTGGTGGGAGTCAGGCTTTAGATAGGCATCCGTGTGGGTGGCTTTCCTGTAGACAGAATGTCCCAACGAGCCATCAGGTCTCTTCTCGATCAAAACATCCAGGAATGGTAACTTGTCATCCTTTTCCACTTCCATGGTGAATTTGATGGCTGGGTGTATGAGATTGATGTGGTTGAAGAATTGGTTTAGTGCTGGCTGGCCATGTGGCCAGATGACGAACGTGTCATTACGTACCTCTTCCGCAAGGACGGGCGTAGGGTGGATGCCTGGATGGCATCTGTCTCAAATTTCTCCATTAAAACATTCGCTACCACTGGCAATAAGGAAGAACCCATTGGGGTACCCTCCTCTTGTTTGTAGAATGTACCATTTCAGGTGAAGTAAGTTTTGGTAAGGCAGTGTTCCACCAAAGTTGGCACATTTTTCCAAGACGAAGGTACTCTGCAATCCCACTGGCTTACATCGAAGATTTGTTCATGAAGCAATCCAGATATATAAACACGGACACAACTGCAACCGAGAAGATGGGTACAAATTAAGCAATCATTAGGAGGACCTGATTAACCAGGTAAAGTCTTAACCTGCTGTGATAAGACAATAAAGCTTGGTTGAAGGGTGGCACAGTGGTTTGATTCCCAACTCTGGCACCTTTCTGTGCTGGGTTTGTATGTTATTCCCTTGTTCTGCATGCATTTTCATCCAATAGCTAAACACCACACAATATAACCAGTATCAACCAAACATCCCAATGCTAAAACAATACCTGCAAAGAAGCCAATTGAGGTTACACTACCGTTACCTACTATAATCACTCAGAAATGTGACGTCACTCCACATGAGGCCCCCCCTCATTAATATTCATGAGTGGGTGGATTTTTACACTAACGCAGAGGAAGGTCGAGCTGAATTAAATAATTTATTACACAAAGTCGCTTCAAATATGACGTTTCTTTACAGAAAGTGACGGTAAAAAATAAATCTACGCAGCACAG